CATCATGATCCCTCACATTAAATTCTCATCGTGGTTTATTGGAGTCTTCATAGAAGTCGTAACATAGAAAACCATTAAATGAATAGCAACTTTTCTTTTCCTAGTGCTTTCCACTAAAGGAGTTGACAGCATATAACCATTATTATTAGCATCATCACTGAAATCTTATATTACATATCGAGTATTTAGAAAGAGATGTAATTTCAATAACTGATCCTGTGTGAGAGTCATTTTTTGTGTGTAGAGTTAGGTGTAATGTTTTAGATGGCATTGTACAAATTTATTTAGAAAAATTGAAAATAACAAATACTTAGAATAAAATGAGATATTTTTCAAAGAGCCTTAGCAAAATCGAAAACAAAGAATCTGTTAAATATGTATCTCATGCATTCTGTCAATGGTAACTTGGACAGGAGTATTATTAAATACAAGAAAATAAGTGCACACATGCAAGCCATGTGAAATCAACGAGATAGATGAGATCAAAGACAATCGAGTATCTTGCAAGAAAAACTAAAAATTCATGACGAAACACTTCCAACAAAATAAAAAAATGGATAATTAAATCAAAATTTTAATTAAAGAGTCTAAAACATTAACGCTAGCGTTAGAAATCCTGACGGTAATCATGGAATTTGTGTTTTGAGTTAAAGCGTAACGACCAAAAGCAGTTTCTAACTTCTTTGAGTTTACGCATATATTGTTATCGTTATATTTTTATTTATTTATTCATAAAAGTTATTCTTCTTTTAAAATTTATGCGTATTTAAAGTATAAAGGAGCTTATTATCATTATATAACAATTGGTAGTATTTTACTCTTCTTTTAAAACATACACACACAAAAGGAAGTCAAAATAATAACAATAAATGCCTCTTTTGTTCTATCGCTATGAATAGAATCCGTCAGGGCGACCACCAAAAGTTCGGGCCACGTGATACTTCTTTGATGACGTCACGATGCGAAAAGTGTTAGGGTTTGGATCTGGATCAAGGTTATTTGGCAAACGAAAAATACATTTATAGTAAATTTCGAAGGAACATTTTTTTTATTAGAACACAAAAGATAGTTTCATAGACTAGATTTTGAGATACAAGCTTTTTTTCAAAAATATGCCTTTGTTTGAATTTTTGTGTTATATGTCGATCTTGTAATTTAATTGGTTATCATAGTATCCTAGCCATAGCAAAGAAAATTGTTCGGATACATGAAAATGTTCGGGTCGGAAAAATTCGAACATTTAAATCGGATACCCTAGACATGGCGAAAAAAAAGTTACGGGTCATGTGATATCTGGTATGTCCGGAATAATTCTACGATAATAGAGATTATTGTTAAAGGTTAATTTAAAGGTTAGGTTAAGGTTAGATCTGTGATCAAGTTTATATATAAAATTGTCTTCCCGACATTTTTGTTAGTCTATCAAACTAGATTTAGGCATCTGTTTCCCGTATTTTTTACATTTTTTGCTTTTTTCATTTTCTTGTGTCGGATTTGTTTTGCCGGGCTGATCAAAAATTTATGGTTTGTGTCACTAGTAGATCATTCTTATTTGCGACACGTGACCCGTAACTTTTTTTTCGCCATGGCTAGGGTACTTATTTAAATCATGACGATGATTGATGACACTACTTAATTCGAACATGTGACTTAGTGTCACAAATACACGATCTCACTAAATCGCTAAGAATAAATTATCGTTATGATTTAGCGTTAGTGAAATGATCTAAATCGATTTGCTTGTCGTCGTGTTAGACAAAAACCTTTTATTGTTTAACACACACAAACGCAAATAGAAGTCATTAACGTTAACTTTGTCAATATTAATGCACTTTTTTATGACATTGGACAATAAAACCAGCTTATCTATATATAATGCATTGGAGCACTTTTACACTACATAAACATCTTTTAACATAATGATAACAACAATAAAATAGAAGTTCTAATCACACAACCTGTACTGGACGGACGCAGAAATTAACTCCCATGTTTATTTACCGTTACCTATCATTTCAAAGTAAATCATTGTAGTGAGCACGTTTTTTATCGGGTACGGGATTACTATAGCCCATTTAGTACTGAACATTCGTCATTTTGGCACACTCTCAGAACCAATTAGATATGTAATCAGGTTTGTTCTAAATATTCAGACTATATAACACACTGCCGCTACGTTAGAAATCTCTCAATTCGCTCCCAACTTAACACAAGCGCAACAATATCCTATGACCGATATGTATTATGCTCATTGTTTTGGCGTTTCTGCATATCGTTATCCCTAAAAAAATCTCGAATAGAACAGTACATATCGGTATTTATTCTAAAGTGTAAAAGCTTTAGTTTCCATATATCGATATGGGGGTGAGTATTTTTACTCTTCTTCATTTCATGCACCTTGTGGGCATACCTACGTCGTATCATTTTTCATGCATACATCGTTTGATAAACACATGTGAACGACGACAAGTTCCACTCCACCACATATAAATCTTCGTTTTAGACATAAATCACTGCCATCATCACTAAGAAACTCAAAGATGGCATCGAAAACTCATGATTGTAGTGAATGTCGTTATTGTCGATATGATTACTACTGCAACGAGTGTTCAGTTCAAAGTATGCATGATTGTAGTAATAATTGTTGGGATTGTAAACAATGGGGTCCCTGCGATGAGTGTTCAGTTCACAATACTCATGATTGTAGTAAATGTACTCTTTATCAAGAAAATCTGTGGTATGATGGATGTTTTCTATATCACAGACGAACTTATAAAGCTGCTGAAAGTGGAAATAAAGATATCGACAGTCTAGTAAATGAATGCAAGGAAATTAGAACATCTTTCGAATGGATCCCTTTTGAAAGATTTATCAATGTTGAATATCTTGCAAAAGGAGGTTTGGATCAATTTATAAAGCAACCTGGTTGGACGGTCCATTGAAACAGTGGGATCATAAAAAATAAATTTATATGATGGGGAGAATGTCAAGTTGTGTTGAAATCATTACACAATTCAAAGAAAATAACATCCGAGTTTATAACCGAGGTAAAATGAACACCTTCAAGTGTAAGCATATTACTTTTTTGTTTTTCAATCTAATTAACTTTTTAAAATTAGATTCAGACTGCTCTAAAGTGCAGTTTTCTTAGATATTACGGAATAACTAAAAACCCAGCTACAAATGAATACTCGATAGTGATGGAGTATGTAAAATATGGTGATCTACGCAAATATATTAATTTCAACTACGTGTACATGTACTTGAATTGGAAAGAAAAGATCATTTAAGGAATATCATTGAAGTTGATGACGATTCACGATGAGAAACCTGTGCATCGTGATTTTCACCCTGGAAATATATTAATAATGAGTAGTAGTATCAGTCCTGCTCAAAGTGCTGATTTTGGACTTAGCAAACCAGCAAATATAGAAAATTCTAATAAAACAATTTGCGGAGTACTTCCTTATATGAGTCCAGAGGTATTAAATGGAAAACCATACACTGAAGCTGCAGATATTTATAGCTTTGGAATGATGAGATTGCCACAGGTTGAAAAATGTTGGGATCCTATTCCAGAAAACAGAGCAGCTGCTAAGGAACTTGAAAAGTTTATCGACTCTATCGACTCGTTCATTAAGTTGGAAAGAAAATTGAATACTTTGCATTTTCAGTTCTACAGCTTTTTAAAATCTCCTAAAACACGTGAAGAAATTATTGAACGTCTTAAACCAGAAAAGCAGAAATTACACGAACTTGATAAGGAGATGAAATTAAAAAAGAGTATTCTTACGAATACGAACAAAAAACAAATCCACTCAAACGCAGTTCACACCAGTTCGAATGTTTACCACAAAATTAATTTCAATTCCAACTGCTAAATATAATCCATGTTAACTTTAATATTAACTAAATTCATATCGAATGTTTAGGGTTGACGAGTGTCAGTTTGTTTGTTCCAAGCGATTTCGATTTTAGTATGCCACATGAAATCAAAGAAAATGAAGAGATATCGAGTGACTTGCAAGAAAAACTACAGATTCAAGATGAAATCAACGAGATAGATGAAGAGGTATTGAGTGTCTTGCAACAAAATCGACAAATCCATAACGAATCACCTCCAACAAAATATGGAAATATCAAAAGAAAAATACGGCGCTTTGTTAGAAGAAAATGGTAACTATTTTACTTTAAAATTTTTATTGTCGTTGATTTAATTTAATTTAATTTAATTTAGGAGTCTTAACATTAGAAATCCTGACGGTAATCATGTGATCGATATTAACTGTGTTTGTTTGAGTTAGTTTCTAACTTCTTTGAGTTCACAATGTATATTTTATTTTATTCAATTACATACAGCAGTTTCGTTTATTATCGTTATCGGTAGTAATGTATTGCAGTTTTACCCTAAATAAATGCTCTTTGAATTCTAAAATTTCAAATACTCATCATTGTAGTAAATGCGTTTTTTATCGGGTACGGGTTACTACAATAGCAATAGGTGTAAATGTACTCGTTGTCATAAACTGTATTAAAAGAATGAACAATGGTAAGCAAATTAATAATTCACCAATATCTTCATCTTTCCGCAACCCGAAAACGTCGTTTGGAGTCAACAAGTACAATTCCTAGTCATATGCTACAATAATAATGAAAAAAAGAATGAGAAATCTAAATTATTAGCATTATATTATTTAATGTACATGTACATGTACGTACTTACTGTTACCATTTTAATAAAAATTTCGCAATTCTATCACAAATTATGGTGTATCATAATTTCGTCCAATGATATTCATATTAATTTAATATATATATTTCATCTATTGCCAAAGACCATTACAAAGTTGGTTAAATATCTTTGAAGTTTCTTTTTTTCCCGATATTTGGTTTTTCTTATGCTTTCTCATGTTATATATTACTCTCTCAAATTAAGCAAGTTTAATATTTATTTGACATGTAGAATGTAGATCACTCTTCTTGTATTTTTAACTATCGCTATGCTGCTGCAGAATTTAAAAAACAATTTGTGGAAGATTAGTCCACAAAATAAATATAAATTAACAAACTCTCTTAAACGATTATTCTCTCAAACACTCTCATGCAAACACTCTCAAGCAACCACTCTCAAGCAACCACTCTCAAGCAACCACTCTCAAACTACCACCTTCAAGCAAACACTCTCAAACGATTATTTCAAAGAAGCAAAGAAGAGGTATGCGGGAGCAGAGGAGAGGTATGCGGAAGTAAGAAAGGAGTATGCGAAAGTGGATAAAGAGTTGAAGAGGAAGGAAGAGAGGATAGATCGATTGAGAAGAAAGTTGGATAAAGAGAAATACGAAAATGAGTTGAAAACACTCGAAAAAAAACAGGAGTGCTTAGAAAACGATCGAGAGTTTTGGAAACTTGAAATGAAAAAATGGTCAAATGTGTTGGCGTCGTCAGGTAATGACTAGGCGTTGGAAGCATAGAGTAGAGCAAGTGATGCAAATTATCCATTACCATCCATTCATTTGATGGAACTTTTTGTATAACGTTGACTAACTTGTGATTTTTTTCTACGGTTCCTTATTTCATGTCTCCAGACGTACCTAGTAAGTGATACTTTTGTTGTCGTTCTTGATCTCGCTTTCCATCGAATCTTAATTCCTTCGCTTCCTTTATTTAGATACATTGCCTAGTGATTTGCAATATGTAGAACCCCAGCCATTGCTAAGAACAGAAGGTGCATCGTGGGAATTTCAAAGCTCGGAAAAGTTTATGAATATACTACGAAAAGCTTTGAAAGATCACTACGACAACTTCCGGTTAAAAAGGTACGATAAACAATCGATACCAATCTACCTGATTCTATCAGGCCCTGGAACTGGGAAGTCTAGGATAGCAACCGAATTACCACGGTTAGCAAGAGATTGCGCTGAAAATGGCTCAGAATTACAAAAGCGGTTATCGGAAGCAATAGTCTTCAATATTTCCTTGGAAAACAGCACGGCACTAATCACCAATATTGAAACGGAGGCCAGATATATTATAGGGGTGAGAATGTTGTTCCAGCTCATGCCAGAATGGCATCATAAATGGAGTGAATTTCTTGCCAAACATAAACACACCTCGCCGGAACAAGTATTAGAAATGATTGCCAAAGATTGTGGCGTGGATTATAAGGATTTGACTGTCTTTCTTACAATCGATGGCCTGCAAAAAGTAATAGAAAATGAGGGAGATTGGAAAAACAAACGTTCTCTGTTCTATTCTTGTCTTACAACAGTTGCAAATCTAGTCCGATCTAGAAATTTCATCATTGGAACCTGTACAGCGACCGTGTACCAACCTGTTGAGCATTGTCTTGCAGACTCCCATCAAAGACGTATATATCTCCCAGTTTATCGCTTACAGCCGCCAACACGCCTGATCAATGGTGTTCAGCAGCCAGTTTTCGCTGATCACCCTATTATCGATATGCTGGTCAATGATATGGGTGGATGCGGGCGTCCTCTAGAAATATTGGAATACGCTCTTAAAGACAAAGATATCGACCAATGTAATTTCATGAATTTGATGAGTTATATATGTGAACAGCTGCAAGAACGTTACCCTGAATGGAAAGGGGTAGAAGGGATTATACCCCTCCTCCGTGTTATCTTGACGCACCAACCTGTAGCGCGTAAAAAACCTATTCCCGGTACAAATCTTCTTCCAGAAGCTTATACCAGTTTGGGTTTGGTGGAATTTAATGCGACAAATCAAAGTCAAGACGGGTATTTGACTTGTCCATATATTTGGCTATGGATAATCGCAAATACTACAAACGATCCTATTCTACGAGATTGGAATTTCAATAATTTACAAGAAGCGCTACACAAAGAGGACCCTAGAATTCCACCGGGATTGCAGTTTTGGCAGCACTTCGAAAATTTTATTGCATCTATTCGAGTCCTTAAGTCCAGGATATTCGATGATGGTGCTTATCTTTCATTAGAAGAGTTTCACCATGGTGCAAAACACACGTTCAACAATACCGAGATTTACAATCAACATCTACAATTGGAAAAGGCAGTACGTCAAGTATCAACAAAGTCACAGATAGATCGTCATGCAATGTGAAGAAGGTCCAGTTGACAAGACGGGCAAATACTGCATAATTAATGCCTCTAATGCGGCAGCTGGTGACTGCTTTATTCCTGGGATGCATCTTCGTCGAAAATCCAAGGATTACTGTTCAACTGAAGTTCACCAATGTAAGTTGCTGAAGAATAGTTCGGTTAACCAGATCACCTATGAGGAAGAGCGCCAGAAAACAGCAAATAAAGAGGATATATTCATATTATATACCAGCGGGAAATCCGAAGTCGATCTTCCAAAGTTGTCGGCTATTGTTGACCGAGACTGCTGGGACGCCTACTTTGGACCCTTCGCTGGCCGGACATTTCACTATGCAAAGATGATGCCGTTGAACGCGAACAAAGCTACCTTTACCCAGCTCACTGGTGTAAAAGGAATAGGCACTGTGCGCGCCAATGAACTAATACGTAACCGGCCATTTGAAAATTTAGATGATTGTGTGCGCAAAACAAACATCCCCCGAAATATTGTTGAGTCATTTTCGATTTAACCGCTAGTGGAAAAGTAATAAATTGTTGAAATTCTCAAATATCTATTTTTAGTGTTGCAGCACCGTTATATCACCAGCGTTTTTTGGGTATTCTGAAGGATGTGCCTAATATTTTTGTACATATGCCTTTAAGTCTCATTACCGTTACAGAATCATTTTATCTCAAAAAGTTACAGTTCTTTCATTTAAAAGTGGCATAACTCTTGTTCATTTTTTCAAAAATACAATTTAGAAATAATTACTAATAAAAACTGGAATTTTCAATTTTCATATATAAAAGCATAAGAATTTTTTTCCAATCAAACAGTTTTTGTATTTTGTAAGCCTTAAAATGATATATACAGTAGCAATAAAAAAGAATGCAACAGTAAAAAAATTAATAAAATATAGTAAAAATATGAAAAATGCAGGTTTTTTGCTTTATATAAAAGTTTTTAATTTTATTAACAAATATTTTTTATTTTTGTATCAAAATGAAGATAATATTACATAATTAATATATATTTAGATTTTTTAGATTTAATCTGACAAAGTTGTTCTAATTGCATATAAAAACATAAAAAAATTATTGATTTTATATGCAATTAGAACAATTTTATCAGATCAAATCTAAGAAATCTAAAGAAATATATGTAATATTATCTTTATTTTAATATAAAAATAATATATATTAGTAAAATTAAAAATTTTTATATAAAGTAAAATTCATGTTTTGTATTTTTATTATATTTATTAATAAATTTTATTATTATTATATTATTACAAGTTTGTTTACTAATTACTAAATTAACTTGCAAACTTGAATAAAAATTAAAAAGAGTTAAATAAACAAAATATTAATAGAAAAGAGAAATATTTAATTTTATATTAAAATTATAATAGTTCAAAAAATAAATAAAAGTATGAAAACATCATAAAAAAATAAAAATAAAAAAGAGAAAAAATAAGAAATTATATAATAAAAAAAATTATACTAATTTTCTATATTAATATAAAGTGTTTTAAAACTAAAAAAATATAATTAATAATAGTAGATAACAAAGATTTTTTACTTTATTCTTTTTATAAATAAGAATTATTAAGATAATATAAATTAAAATATTAAAATAATAAAATTCAAAATCAAAAATCAAAAATCAAATAAATAATTAAAAATAAAAATATTTATTTCAAATTATTAATTAATTTTAATATAATTCAAAGTTATTTATATATAAACTTTAAAATATATAGTTAAGAATAAAAAATAAAATATTTAGTAATAAAAATTTTTGATTTTATTACAATATTATTTTTTTTATTAAATTAAAGTTTAAATAATATCTAATAATTTATATATTTTTTGTAAATACAAAAAATAAAAAAGTAAAATAAAATATAAAATATAAAGTAAAAAAGTGAAATAATTTATTAAATATAATACTAAAAATTTATAATTATTAATTACATAATAAAAAATAAGAATTTTTAAAATTTTATATAAAAATAATTAAAAAAAATAAATTAATAAATTAATAACTTTATAAATAAAATATGCTTTATAAAATTATTAATTTAGTTTTTTCTTATTAAAAAATTTATTAATTTAAAAATATTCTATTTTTATTATAAAATTAATAATTATAAATTTTTAGTATTATAAAAATAAGATTTTTTAATATTTTTAAATATTTATATTTTTTATTATTTTTGAATTTTTTAATGTTTTAAAAATTTACAAAATTTTTATAATTATAATAATTATAAAAATACTTTCTTATACAAATAAGATTAAGATAAATTTATTACTTATTATAAATAAATTATATTAATTAAAATAGTTTTCAGTTTTAATTTTAATAAAGCTTATTTTTATTTATTAAATAGTAAAAAGATTTAAAAAGCTATAGTACAAAACAGAAATATTTAAATATTTAATAAATTACAAATAAATTAATAATAAATAAAGAGCAATTAGTTTTAAATTATTAATCTTAAAGATAATGCATCTTCAAGTTATACTATATTTAATTAAATATATATGAAATATAAATATTAATATAAATATTAATAAAAATAATTAATACAAATTAAAAATAATAAATACAAAATAAAAGAATAAATAAAAATAAAAAAAATTAAAAATAATATATTATTATAGTAGTAATATAAAAATCGTAAATTCAAAAATAATTAAAAAACATAAAAATTCCAAAAATATTCATATAATAATAAAATCCTCTAGTATTATTTCACTTTTATTATTTCACTTTTCACTTTTTTCACTTTTATTATTTCACTTTTTCAATATTTTATTTTTTATTTTTCACTTTTTTAGAAATTTCACTTTTTATTTTTCACTTTATATATATTATTTCACTTTTTATTATTTTTACTTTTTATTTTTCACTTTTATTTTTCACTTTTTAATTATTTCACTTTTTATTTTTCACTTTTATATATATTATTTCATTTTTATTATTTCACTTTTCATTTTTTCACTTTTATTATTTTATTTTTTTGATTTTTCACTTTTATATATATATTTTTATTTTTTTTTTTTTTTCTTTTTTTTT